GGTCCGCCCGCCCGACCCGACCCGCCCGTGAGGGTCCGCCCGACCCGACCCGACCCGCCCGTTAGGGTCCGCCCGCCCGACCCGACCCGACCCGCCCGTCAGGGTTCACGCGTGTCCAGTGCACGCGCACCATACTTTAATGTCCCGCCCGCCCGGCCCGACCCGCCCGCTAGGGTCCGCCCGACCCGACCCCGACCCGCCCGTTAGGGTCCCGCCAGCCCGACCCGACAGACCCGCCCGTTAGGGGTCCCGGCCCGCCCGACCCGCCGTTAGGTACCGCCCGCCCGACCGCCGCTCAGGGTATAACATGAGGAGGAAAGATAAAGATGGAAAGATGATCTTTATGTGGGGGTGGAGATGCGGGGGGGATTGATAGCCACCGCAGGTGAGTGCCTATGCAGGTAGGTATTCCTGGCCTTGCCCTGGGGCCCGGGGGGGGCGCCTTCGCCCTGTTTTAAACCCCTAAACCCTAAACCCTGAACCCTCAAATCCTAATTCCTTTATTTGCGGATTATTAAAGCTGCAGCCCGGGGAATCCCCATGCGTTCCTGCTAAAGAACTCCTTGTTCGAAGAATGTCTTGTGAACTTCTGAGGTTCGAGCTGCTTCTACGTCCATACACCGCTTTCTGAATGGGGATCTTTACGGCCCGCTATGTAAACCACCCACAATCCTATGCAAAACATATTATTTCCTGATCATGCGTGCTCCCAGGCGCACCCCTGGATCGAGCCTGCTATGGGGATATTTACGGCCCGCTATGTAAACCACCCATAGTCCCATGCAAAACATACTATTTCCTGATCATGCGTGCTCCCAGGCGCACTCCTGGATCGAGCCTGCTATGGGGATCTTTACGACCCGCTGTGTAAACCACCCACAATCCTATGCAAAACCTATTATTTCCTGATCATGCGTGCTCCCAGGCGCACTCCTGCATCGAGCCTGCTATGGGGATCTTTACGACCCGCTATGTAAACCACCCACAATCCTGCGCAAAAAATATTATTTCCTGATCATGCGTGCTCCCAGGCGCACCCCTGGATCCTGTGTAACCGACCCGACCCGCTTGTTAGGGCTCACGCGTGTCAAGTGTACGCGCACCATACTTTAATGTCCCGCCCGCCCGACCCGACCCGCCCGTTAGGGTCCGCCCGACCCGACCCGACCCGCTCGTTAGGGTGCGCCCGCCGACCCGACCCGCCCGTGAGGGTCCGCCCGACCCGACCCGACCCGCCCGTTAGGGTCCGCCCGCCCGATCCGACCCGCCCGTTAGGGTTCACGCGTGTCAAGTGTACACGCACCATACTTGAATGTCCCCTTTTCCCGACCCGACCCGCCCGCTAGGGTCCGCCCGACCTTTTGTTTCTTTGGGTTTTATTCCCTTTTTTTTTCTTTGACCCGACCCGCGCGTTAGGGTCCGCCCGCCCGACCCGACCCGACCCGCCCGTTAGGGTCTCCAGCGCGCGCGCGCGGCCGCCGCCTCTTTGCTAAGCGCTTGCTCCCAGGCTTGCTATGGTACGCTATGCTATGCTACAGCCACGGTGTAACATGAGAGGAGAGATGATCTTTATGTGGGGGTGGAGATGCGGGGGGGATCGATAACCACCGCAGGTGGGTGCCTATGCGGGTAGGTATTCTTGGCCTTGCCCTGTTAGACCCGAAACTGCAGGCGCGGACCTGGGGACGCGCACCGCCACGCCTGTAAGGATCTGCTAGTGAGAGCGAGCTGCAAGTCGAGCTCACCGCGACCCCAGGCCTGCCGGCCTGAGGCTGTGCTTCGCTTGCAAAATGATAACCCCTAACCCTCGGCCGGATGCTCGGAACCACCGCTCGGCTTTTCGCCCAGAGCATTCCCCCAGAGCTCTCCCCCAGAGCTCCCCCCCAGAGCTCCCCCCCAGAGCTCTCCCCCAGAGCTTTCCCCCAGAGCTCTCCCCCAGAGCTCTCCCCCAGAGCTCTCCCCCAGAGCTCTCCCCCAGAGCTCCCTCCCAGAGCTCTCTCCCAGAGCTCTCCCCCAGAGCTCTCCCCCAGAGCTCTCCCCCGGAGCTCTCCCCCAGAGCTCTCCCCCAGAGCTCTCCCCAAGAGCTCTCCCCCAGAGCTCTCTCCCAGAGCTCTCCCCCAGAGCTCTCCCCCAGAGCTTTCTCCCAGAGCTCTCCCCCAGAGCTCTCCCCCAGAGCTCTCCCCCGGAGCTCTCCCCCAGAGCTCTCCCACCAGAGCTCTCCCCCAGAGCTCCCCCCCAGAGCTGTCTCCCACAGCTCTCTCTTCCAGAGCTCCTCCCCCAGAGGCTCTACACCATGGCTCTCCCCAGAAGCTTGTCCCACAGAGCTTCCCTCCCAGAAGCTCTCCTCCAGGAGCTCTTCGCCCAGGAAGCTTTCCCCCATAGCTCTCCCCCAGAGCTCTCCCCCAGAGCTCCCCCCCAGAGCGCTCCCCCAGAGCTCTCCCCCAGAGCTCTCCCCCAGAGCTCCCCCCCAGAGCTCTCCCAAGAGCATCCTCGGATGCCTCGTGCGCGGCCCGAGGCCTCCACGCGGCGGCCCCTGGGGAAGGCTACGCGGGCGACTCTGCACCCGCAAGGGTCGGGGTCGCGCGCGTATTTTTCGCGAAGGACGACTCTCGAATCGCGCTAATGCTGACATATCTGTTTCTGGGACGCACATCACTCACTCAGGCTGACGCCAGCACTCCTTCCCCCCTTGATAGGGGGGAGCGTGGGGGGTAGATCCCTAAACCCTAACAGCAATGACTCTGGGTGGATGGGGTGGGACAGAACGCATCCATCCATCCCCCCCTACCTCCTGAGGAGGGGGGGATAGGATGGTTCTGCGCAGAAGCCCTAAACCCTAAACCCTGGACCCTACACCCTAAGCCCTAACCCCTAACCCTAACCCTAAACCCTAAACCTCGCTCGCCCCGGACCCCTGCGGAAAGGGGGGGAGGGGGGCGGGGGGGTTCGAACCCCACCCACCCCTTCAGGGGGGGGGGGGGTTCGGACCCCTCCCACCCCCTTTCAAAGGGGGGGGGGGGGGGGTCGAACACCCCCCCCCCCTTAAAGGGAGGGAGGGGGGGGGGGGTTCTCGGACCCCCCCCCCTGAAGGGGGGGAGGGGGGGGGGTGGGTTCCATGGAGCACACACCCTCTTTGTGTCTTCAAGGTGATCCACTGGCGCTCTTTCGTTTTTACCGTTTTGAAGACACAGTGCCCCAATGCTCCCTGGGTGTCCCGACTCGCGTCGCCTTCGACGAATGACGTTTGCATGCCGCGGCCGCCTGGCCCCAAGAGGCCGGGTGCTCCCTGGGGATCCCGCCTCGACTTGTTTGGTGGGGATCGCTCGAGGCAAAATTGCTTCATCGATGGCGTTTGGCATCCGGATGCTCGGGTTTTTTTTGGGGCGCCGCTTTGGGGGGGGAGCCGCGCGCCATTTTGGCAGGCCTCGCGGCAGCCTCGAGTCAGGAGGGAAAGAAATACACAGGCACAATTAATCCTCGATTCCCAGAAAATATGAGAAAATATGGGAAGTGGGGGGGAAGACAGAAACCCAGAAAATATAGGAAAATATGGGGAATCTTTTTTGTGTGTATTTATTTGTGTGTTCTGGGGTCCCTTCATTGAGGCAGCTTGAGAGGACCCAGGGCCCAGGGCCAGCTTGCCTGTCAGGAAACCTGGCCGCCCGGGGTCGAGACCTGACCGCTCCGCTTCGAGGTCGGTTCTGGCCAGCCCGATCCAGTTCGAGTATGGCATTCCGTGAGCGGCTTGAGTAAGGAACACTTACTTTTCAAAAGGGGCTCGGTCGTTCCTTAAGGCTTGCATGCGTTACGTATCCTTCCTTATGCGTTTGTTCGTTTATTATGTATCGTTCCTTGTGTTTTTCTCCTTGGAAACAGGGGCTTCGTTCCTCATTTATCGTTCCTTAGGTCAGGCCGATGACTGTATTCCGTGAGCGGTGTGTATCTTGGCGCAGCTGATGGCGGTCAGTAAGCCTTGTGCGAGACGGCGCGCGGGCAGGGTGAGACCAGGCGATCTGTCCTTCGGAGGCCCCTCGGCGCACCATCCGGAGCGGGCTCGGCGCGACGGACCTGACCACAGCACAAAGAGTAATTAGGAGAGGCCGGCACCATCGGTCAATCTCGTCACGATTTGACAGGCAGTTCCCACACCGTTGCTGAATGGTCTGGCCGGAAGAAGTCAGTTGAGGCGTTGCTTATGCTAGCTGATGTCATGCAGTTATTCGTCAGCATGCAGCCCCACACCTGTAAAGGGCGCGCTTGCTTGCGTGGCCCAAGCGGGAATCGTAGCTCGATCCCGCCAGGCTTGAGGACGGAGACGCGCACTGGGTCATCGCGAGGGCGCCCGGCGAGCTGCCTCAGAAAGTGAACCCGGGTCGAGGAAGTCTCGTATCCTATGGGACCATTCTTTGGAATTGCTTGGCATATTGCTTGGCGCACGTTTGCGCGGCATTATTTGGCATTGCGTGGGGTTGCTTTGCATTGCTTGGCGTTGCATGGCATTACTTGGCACTGCGTCGCAAGACCAAGGAGCAAAGACCAAGGAACCAAGATCAAGGAACCAGGGAACCAAGGAACCAAGACAGAGGAGCCACGAAACCAAGACAAGGGAATCAAACTACCAAGACCAAGGAACCCGAGGAAGGCAGCAAGGGACCGCGACCAAGGAACCAAGGAATTCAGGCGAAAAACGCGGGAGATCTCAGCACGCCGCCCGACCCCCAAGCCCTCCTGGGAGCTCTGTTCTGGGGCCCTCGGGCGCGCCTCGTGCAGGATACTGGAGATCTTAGCACGCCTCTTGCCCGCTGGGCCAGGGGGCTGGGGACGGCAGTGAGGGCGGGCCCGCGGTGCGTTCCACACCCCGCGGCCGGAGGAGGGAGGAGGGAGGAGGGAGGAGGGAGGAGGGAGGAGGGAGGGGGAGGGGAGGGAGGGAGGGAGGAGAGGGGAGGAGGGAGGAGGGAGGAGGAGGAGGGAAAGGAGGAGACGCCCCCCCTGGGGCCGAGGACAGCCTGGTGTTCCTCCTGTTCTTCCTGGCCCGCCAGGGCCAGAGCAGAAGCGCCCGGTCGCCCGCCAGGCGGCTTCCCTCCTCCCCATCTCCCGCTTTTGCCTGCTTCTTCTCTTTCTCCCCCCTCCCCTCCACCTCCTCCTCCTCCTTCCCCCTCCTCCTCCCTCCTCCTCCTCCTCCTCCTCCTCCTCCTACTCCCTCCTCCCCGCTCCTCTCCTCCTCCTCCTCCTCCTCCTCCTCCTCCTCCTCCTCCTCCTCCTCCTCCTCTTCTCCTTCTCCTCCTCCTCCTCCTCCTCCTCTTCTCCTTGTCCTCCTCCTCTTCCTCCTCCTTTCTCTCCGTCTGCTCCACTTCGTCTTCATCATTCACTTCGTCCTCCTTTGCTGTCCTTCCCGTTGCCCTCCTGCAGGGCGATCTTTGAAAGTCGCCACTCGGACTGGCGTATACAGACCCAGCCTAGCTCGAGCAGATGGTGCCTTCCTGCTGCAGAGTTGTAGAAGTCTGCGGATTGCGAGTGGTTCTCTCGTGTTGGTTATCATCAGCACCCCTTCCAGCCCCTGAGGCTCAGGCGGCAGTTTCGGGCGAGGCGGGCATCACATGTTGCAGTGCGCAGGTCGGTCAGCCCCCACATCCAGCCAGCGGCGCGGCCCTTTTACGCATGTTGCGATCTCTCGGGCCCAGCCCGATGTCTGCTGGCCTTGCTACTCAAACAGGGGAGCCCCTCGACGTCGACGTGGGGCCTCGCCCCAGGTGTCCCGGAGGCGCTGGACCAAGGATTAGTTGACCGAGGGTGCTCAAGAGTTCCGCCTGCTGGTGGACGTGTCGTGCTCGTGTGTTTCACTACTGGTAGCAGCAGCTGGCCAGTGAGACCAGAGCCGGGTTCTCGGTCTCGAGGGTTCTTTCCCTCGGAGCGAGCGGTTCCGTGGAGTCAGTGGCGGTTGGTGTGCTGTCGGTCGATGCCCGCATGAGTTCCCGACCCCCTTGGGTTGTTTTTTTCGCCGCGGCGCCTCTGCCGGGGCAGCTCCCCGGGGCCCCCGTTAGCGCTCGCCCCAGGAGCCAAGTCTGGCCCCAACGGCGAGGTTCGGGGTCGGGGATTCGGTGCTCATGGGGGGGGCGGGTGGTTTCAGTAGCAATTATGGGAGCCTTGTATGCCGTCTTACTCCCGTCCTCAATGTCGATTGGCAACGAGTAGCGTCTGGTAATCAATGAGGTAGCGCCGATTTAGCATCGACTGGCGTCGGCTAGCGCCGATCTGCGCCGATTTAGCGTCGATTGGCGTCGATCATCGACGGTCATCAAGATGGTAGGGGAGGCAATCATGCCTCCTTAGTTGCCACCGAAGGTGGGGGTCCCGTGCCGTTGGATCATGCCCATCTCATGTTGCCTGCCGATTCGGCGGCGGGAGGGGGGGGCACAGGAGGGCCAGTGCCGCCCACTCGTGCTTTTTCCCGGATAGCTCGTAGAGAGCTCAGAGGGTTTCAGATTCGGAAGCCGGAGCCGCAGGGTAGCCCTGGAGGTCGTTCCAGCTTCCTTTTTCCAGCGCCACAGCGTCTTGCTTGAGCCAGACACGCGTCCCGGCAGCTTTTTTCTCTAAGCGTTTACCAATACGCGTGCCCGGACATTTTCCAGAAGGTCCTTCGGAAGCTCTCTCCAGGTCTTTCCAGAGATCTTCGGCAGGCCTTCGCACGCCCTGCTGGCGCCCTGCTATCCGGTTCTTGGACCCCACAATGCAGCTGGGATCCACGGGTAGGCTTCCTTGAGTTACGCAAATGGCTTACGCCATTCCACCGAGCCTCAGTCGAATTCATGAGACCGTGGAAGTTGCTAGTGCGAGGTAATTATGGGCTTGATTGTACTGAGTTGTTGCGAGGGGCTTTTCGGGAGTCTCGTGGAGACCTCGGCGGGGAGGGCCTCCTGGGGAACTGTTGAGGGTTCCTGTGGGCGTGTAGGGGCCTTCTCGGGTCTTCCTGGGGGCGTCGTTGGGGCTCGGCATGGTGGCGGTTTTCCCGTCCATCTTGCGTGAGCGGGCTCCTGGAAGCCCTTCTTGAGTCCTTCTTTTGGATCCCTTCTGGGGCTCTGTTGGCCCTCTTGGGCCGTATTGGAGCTCTCTTGAGGGCCGCTTGGGCCATCTTCGGCGCTGTTCGGATGAAAAACATGAATATTCCAAACAAGTTAGCCAACGCGGGCCACAAACAGTTCGCTCGTGCACTGTAGATGTATGAGCTATGCGGTGCAGCCAGGCGATGCAAGCTGTGCGGCGTAAGCTATGCAATGCCATCTATGTGGTGCAAGCTATATGGTGCAATACGTGTGGCGCAACATGCGTGGTGCAAACTATGTGTTATGTGGTTCAAGCTATGTGATGCAAGCTATCCAGTGCAAGCTACCTGGTGCAAGATATGTGGTGCGAGCTACTTCGTATGAGCCATGTGGTGCGATCTACGCGGAGTGTCCGATGTGGTGTAAACGATGTTTATACATGAGTTGCCGATCCACATGCTCTTGCAAGCATCCCACCCACCCACCCGCAACTTGGTTTGCAAAACCCATGCGGCGGCGATTGCGATGAGTGCTTGGCGTTGGCTGGTGCATCCCTGCGGCCACGCTAGCCCGCGCATGCTCGCGCGCACAGCGGCCAGCTAGTTTGGCGCGACTAGCGCGGCCGCGGTGGCGCTGACCGCTGGGCACTTCCCAGCGGGCACTTCAGTGCGAGTCGGTGAGTTGGGCGGGCGCGGTATCATGGCGACGCCGACAACAGTAGACTCGATGATAAATGGAGCAAAGCAATGATGATGGCGATTGTGGCGATGACGACGTCAAGGCCAATGACGGCGCCGATGTTGATCACATTCGCCGATAACGATGGCGATGTCCTCGCGTCGGCGACGAAAGTTTTGGAAGGAGTTCGACATGCGCGCGCGGCCGACGCGCGCGAGTGGCCCGCGTGGAATTCAAATGTGACACGGATCGTGCACCCGCCAGCAACGCGCGCGCATGGGCGTTCGAATGAGTTTGACATGCGGCACGAGATGCCCGCTTGGCGGAATGTGATGAACATGTTGCAACTTAAGGTTTCCTGAAGAAGCCGCAGGACCGCGAGCGCATGTTTGGTTTGAGAACTGATGTTGCAACACCATGTGCTTGATATTTTTCGAAGCACTCGATATTGAAATCTTTACGGTGCCCAAGCTTTTTGAACGAAGTTTTGCATGCGCGCGCGACGACGCGCGCGTGTGCAGCTTGCCCCAGCTGGTGCAACGAGTTCGTGCGACAACACGCGAGCAAGGTCGTTCGAACAATTACGACATGCGCGCGCGTGAGAGGCCCGTTAAGTAGCATGTGGTGAAATGTTGACGAGCCCATGGTTCTCTCAAGAAATCGCAAGAACGCGGGAACAGTTGTTGTTGAAAACCCTTGTTGCGAAACCATGTGTTGCCATATGTTTTTGTGATTCTCGATTTTGCAATCCTTACGACACCTGAGGTTTTTGAGGGATTTCGATATCTGCGCGCGACGACGCGCGCGATTGCACTTCATTGCGTCTGTTGCAATGGATACTTAGGAACTTTTTAGTTTCGAGAAACGAATGTGCGCGCATAGAATTTGCCGGTTTAGCCAGGGTGTTACGAATTCAAATCTCGGATGGACAATGGGGCAGAATCCGATGTCAATCGCATTAAAACAAAAAAGTAACTGCTTAAGTCCAGAGGTGGGGGGGGGGGTGAGGTTGATCCTAAGACATCTTCGGGTATGTGAATATCTGTGATATATATTTTATACGTATGTATATGTATATGTATATATATATATATATATATATATATATATATATGTGGTGCGGCGACGAACAGGTAACGGTGCCAAATGACCCGCAGAAGGACCCAATTCTTCAAAAGGCAAGTCAAAACGCAAAAGTGCAGGCATTGTTTGGGAAACGCACGCTTTCTTCAGGGATGGGGGAGTTGCTCTCCTCTTGGGGCCTTCTTCGGCGTCCTCTTGGAACCCTCCTTGCGGCGTGCTGGATGCCTTCCGGTCCATCTTGGGGCCATCATGGGTATGTTTGAAGCCATTTGGGCGTGGCTGTGCCCCTCTTGAGCCGTCTTGCAGCCGTCTTGCATCTTGGAAGCGACGGAGGCTGGATGTGTAGGCTCTGGAGGGCTCTTCCGTCCTCCTCCTCCTCCTCCTCCTCCTCCTCCTCTTCCTCCTCCTGCTCCTCCTCCGCCTCCTCAGTTCTCCTGGACCCAGAAAAGTTTGGGCTTTCAGCATGCATTTTTCCCTTCATATTCCGTCCGTGCCCTCCCTTCGAACCGTTATTCGTTACCCGCCAGTCGTTGAAAGTAGGTATTTTTGGATTCCAAGATTCCAGTGTATTGTAGGCGCCTTCCTGCTTCAATCAGCGAGCGTTTTTCTTTTTTCTTTCATACTCAGGGGGCGGGCGGAAGCCCTATCTACTTCCAACGCCTTCCTACTTCATGGTTCTACCCACTCCCTTTGACCGACGGGTATAAGGATTCATCTTCCTCCTCCTCCTCCTCTTCTTCCCTCCGTTTCCTCCTCGCCCTCACGAGCCACTCGGCATTCGCATCCTCACCCCCCTCCCTCATTCCACCCCCCTCCTCCTGGATTCCCTGCTCCTTCACTCCCCATCCTCCCCTCCTCTGTCCGCCCCCTGTTCCTGCTCCCCCCCCTCCTCCTCCCCCGTGCGTTTCCTCCCGTCCCCCCCCGCTCGTCCTCCTGCCTCCTCCCCCCCCCCCCGCCCTCGGAACGCCGCACCCCGTGGGCCGCCCAGGCCACCCTGCGGTTCGCGGAGGCCTTCCTGAAGCTCAACCTCGCGGAGCGGTGGGCCATGGAGCTGAGGGGAGCGCTGTACGAGCTGGGGGGCAGCAGCAGGACGAGCGCCAAGCAGGACGCCCGAGGGCACGAGCATGTCCAAGCCGACGCTCTTCCAAAAGTGCTCCCCCGCGCGGCGGCCCGGAGGTGCTTGCCGGGACGCTTCCGTGGGGCGCCCGCACTTCCCAGACCCCCGACGTCGTGATTCTTTCATAACCTCGACCCCTGGAGGTCTCGACCCATTCCCCGGGACCGGTTTCTCGTACCGAGTCGTTTTTTGACGATGCCGAGTCCCGGTAAAGGGCGGCCAGAGGCCGAAAGTAGCGAAACAAACGCCCGTCGAGTTTTTTCACAGCGCGAGGGGGTTTGGGTTACCAGGATGCTGGGCGTTTGGGGTCCCCGACCTTGCGGAAGGGGTTCTCGTCCGGCCACGGGCGGAACACAAAAGCCGGCGGAACTCGGCCGTGCAACCTGTTTTTCAAATACGTCCCGGCCACGGGGTTTCGGCTGTTCTTTGGGCGTTGCGTAATGGAGGGGTCATAAATGGGGGGGTGTCGCGGGTGGTCCGAAAAGGTACCCAAACGGTACCTAAACGAGCCCCCTGGGGCTCCAGAGGGGCCCGAAAGGGGCACGAAAAGGGACCGTTTCTGACCCCCCCATTTATGACCCCCCCACTAAGCCACGCCCAAGTTCTCCACCATGATCTCTGGATCACCGAGCTTTGCGGGTCCTTCGGTGACACTCATGCATGAGCCAGTTTGCGGTGTTGGAGAAGAGCTTGCACGCCTGACTTCGATGATTCGTAGTCGTACTTTTCGTGCAGCCGACGCTCGGCAACGGGCGTTCAAGGCAGCACGTATATATTCTGCAGACGCGTTTCCGGGCGGCACAGACGGTGCCAAGATGATCTCCAAAGACCGCCCCAAGATTGCCTAAAGGGCCCCCATGAAGGCAACCCGACGGCCCAAGAGACCCCCGAGCCGGCCGAAGAGGCTCCAAGACGGCCCCCAAAAAGCTTCAGCATCGCGGGGGGCACAGACCAACACTTCAGGGTTTCACCCAAAGAGACTCGGAGGCCCCAAAAGGCCCCCCCCCGTGAGGCCCTAGGAAGCCTTCAAGAGGCCCCCAGGAAGGCCGAGGAGGTCCCCACGAGAGCCACAAGATTGCCCAAGAGGGCCCCCAAGACGGCCGGAGACGTCCCTGGCAAGGCCCCAACACTGTCCGAGGACGGCCGACGAGACTCCCCACCACCCCGCAGGGCCCCAAGAGCGCCCCCCAAGAGCCCCCAAAACGACGCCCACAAGGCCCGAGAGGATCTCACGACAGCCGGAGAGAACCCATGCCCTGGCATCGCTCGGACGTGTGCATTTTTTCTCGGCGAGAGCCATTGAGGACGACCGAGCAAAAATAAAAACACGCACGACACCGAAACATGCACGGGAAATGGACGTCCGAGCGATGGCGTTTTTTTTTTTGGGGGGGGGGTGTTTTTTTTTGTTTTGTTGTTTTTTTGCAATCCTTCGAGTCGCCGAACCGACGTCAGGGCCCAGAAGGAATTTCCCCGAGGGCGCTCCCCCGTCCACGGGCGCCCCCCACGGCAGCCGAAGAGGCGCCCCGAGAGGCGCAGGGGCCCTCCCCCACCACCTATCGAGGCCTCCCAGATTCGGGCCGGACGAAAGGGGGGGATTGGGAAAGGGGGGGTTACGAAATTTGCTGCATGCAGCTGGTTTCGGCCTCACCGAGGGGCCCATTCCTCGATACATAGCCGCCTCCGGCGCTGGGAGGCGCCGGGAAAATCAGCTACGCGAGCTGATTCTCAACCCCCCCCTTTGCTATCCCCCCCTTTCGCCCGACCCGACAGATGGGGTCGGAGTGGATGGGGTCGGAGGATCGTCGATGCATCGGCGATGCGGCTCGATGTGGGGCCCGAGTGTCTCCACGCCGACGTCGCCGATGCATCGCCGACGTCGCCAGTGCACGGCCGATGCACCGCCGATGCATCGCAGATGTATGGGCGATGCGGCGAGATTATCCGACCCCATCTGCTCGGACCCCATCCAGGAGGCCTTTAATATATCGAACCCCGTCCCCTGATGGTCCGCTACCGAAAATTTCCGGTAGCGCTCCGCAGAGATCGGTCGCTACCGAAATACCGAAATGTAGCGCCCAATACCGGTATCAGAGCGTTCTGAAATCCGCTATTTCAACGCCCTCCAACGAAGATCCGGTCGCTACCGAAATTCGGGGTGCGTCGAAATCGCTACCGAAAATTTCCGGTACTGGACCATCTGGGTCGGACCCTAGAGGTTTTCCTCACGCCCCCAGAAGGCCCCGCAGCGCCCACGCGAAGCGTACGGACCCCGCGGCACAAGCTCCAGCGCCACGAGGTCTTCCTTAAGAGCGGCCCGGAGACCTGGACAGTTGGACTCGAGGTATAAGGTCGAGGTCGGTTCGGGGAGGGCACCCTAGTGTTAAGTCGGGCCTGTCCCTCTACAGGAGGGATATTCAAAAATAGTCCAACAATCGTGTGGGGACGATGTTTTGTCAATTGTTGGATCTTTGGGGGTATGTTTGGTGTTTTTGTCGCCCCAAATCCTTATGTAGGGGGGCACGCCTGACCTAACCCTAGTGTCATCCTGGGGAGCGTCCCCTTGGATGTTCTGTGTGTTTTGGCCGTCGGAGGGTCTCATGTTCTTGAAGGACGTTCTTCTGGCCGGTATTGAAGCAGGAGGGGATCAGCGAGACTGTTTCCAATTTCCACCTTCGGTCGGCCTCCCACCGGCTGCTTGGTGGCACTCTGCTTCAGGGCCTGCTCGGCTACAGGCTCGAGCTGAGAACAAGCCAATACAGGGAGAAGCGCCCCACTTGCTCTGCTGCCAACTTGCACTGTGCGCCCCCCTCCCGCCTCCAGCCGCTCCCCATCCTGCGTCCTCTCGCCTGCCAGGGTCCGTCGTTCCGCGTCGTCTCCATCCGTGCTCCGCATCCCGGAGGAGCCCCGCCAAGTCTGATCGATGATGGTCGATTATGCCATAGTCGGGAGCGGAAAGTAGGGGGGTGATGACTAGGGGGGGTGGGGGGGATATCATGACGCGGGCCATGCTTTTTCCCCAGATTTCATGGCGCCTCTTCGTATTTCTTTACGTCCCTGGCCCCCCCGCTGGGCCGCGCACATGCCGCCGGCCATGATTTGCACCCCCCCTCTCTTGGACACCCCCCTCTTGGCCGCTCCCGACTCCTCCTCCTCCTCCTCCTCCTCCTCCTCCTCCTCCTCCTCCTCCTCCTCCTCCTCCTCCTCCTCCTCCTCCTCCTCCTCCTCCTCCTCCTCCTCCTCCTCCTCCTCCTCCTCCTCCTCCTCCTCCCCCTCCTCCTCCTCCCCCTCCTCCTCCCGTTGTTTTTCTTCTCCTCCTCTCCCCTCCTCAGGAGACTCCGTCCTGGGAACTCCTTGTTTCCAGCCCTGTCCCCGCAGCTCCCTGCCTCGCGAGTCGTGCGCACCCCACAGGGGTGGACCTAGACGGTGTTTTTTTGCGATGTCGTGGGCCGTTCTCGTTTCGATGTCGTTTCGCGTCGCAGGCGGATTGGAGACCAAACGAGAGAAACGAGAACAAAACGATAACCAAAAACACCGTTTAGGTCCAGCCCTGAGAGGCCCCACGGGCTCTCTCTGCGCCCCGCCCTGCCCTCCTGCCCCAAGCACTCCCTCCTCCCCTCCGCCATCGCCTCCACCACCTCCTTTCCTCCTTCCCCATCGAGCACCTTCACAACCTCCGCCTCCTTGTCTGTACTCCTCCTCCTCCTCCTCCTCCTCTTCCTCCTCCTCCTCTGACGCCCCACCCCCAGTAAGCGAGAAACCATCATTTTGCAGAGTACACATGTCCGCGTCGCCCACGATGCGTCCATACACTAGCCATCGCTGTTCCAAACAGCGTCGCTTCATAATTTCCCCCGTTCACGTTAGGGATGCGTCTTTGGGCTGAAGAATTTCCAACATGTCCATGAAGAGCTTCCAGGACCTTCAAAATTCGCCACCGAGTGGCTCCCAGGGAGTGCCCGAGACGCCCAGCACTGGACTTCCAAGAATTCCTCCAAGGATCTAGGACGCCTCCCCCGTTAAGTGGAAACCGCACAACGTGCGAACCAGTATGACACTTCCCCTTCTCTCCTCCTGCGTTCTTCCTTCATCGTCCCTGTTGCTGCCTCGCGTTTCCCGCTCTTCCCATCTCCACCGTCCTTCCCCGTTCCACGCACGCTCACATTCAGGTCGGGGTCCGTGGTCCCCAGGTTGGAGCGCTCGGAAGCGCGTGCCAAGACGCTCCCTTGGGGCGCCCCGCGTGTACTTGCCAGGGGTGGGGGGCGTCGCCACGGTTGGAGTCGCCTCGCAATGGTGGCCAGAACGCGCCCCAGGAGAGATTCTGGGTTTATGTTGAATCGGATCGGATCGGGCGGGCCTCGGGCTACGCAGGCACAGGACCCCAAAGAGCGTCGCCAAATGAGCACATCACATACAGCGGATGATGTGGCACACGTGTGCGCACCTCCTGTTATGGTCGTTTGCGCGATGTGTCTGTGTACGTGTGGCGTGTCTGTGTTGCGTGTCTGTGGTGCGTGTCTGTGTTGCATGCCTGTGTGTGTGCATGTCTACGTGTGTGATGCGCGCACACACATGCACACGCGCGCGCGCACAAGCACGAAAGCACCCCGACTCCCCCCCAACAAACCCCCCAAAAAGACGAAACCACGCGTGTTTCCCCGACGCGCCGACGGACCACCCATTCGGCTGGAACGTACACGCACACGTCCAGACACGCGCGCGGGCTCGCGCGCGCACGCGCGCACACAGACTCGCGCGCACGCAAGCACGCGTCCACGCGCTTGACGCGCGCACGCGCCCACGCGCAGACACGGGGCGCCCACGCCGGGACCCCCCGCACGTCGGGCCCCACGAGCGCCCCGCCCGTTGCGTGAACAAAAGGAGAGTTCGCTTGAAGCCCGGCACCAAATTGCACAGCCGAGACCTTGGCATCTCTCGAAGGCGGCGAAAACCGACGACGATTAGGGCTGCAGTGTGGGGCTGTCCTGGCGGTGCGCGGCACGACGTGCCGAACCACAGGCAGCCCCTCCAGCGCGCCCCTCCCTCCGACGGGCCCCGCCTTGCCCTTGCCGGGGTGCTGCCGCTGGGGGCGCGCCGCTGGCGGGGGCCCCCGAACGGGGTGGTGACCACGCCGTGTGGTGAGTCTCCTCCTCCTCTTCCTCCTCCTGCATTTCTCCTCGGCGAGGACCATCGAGGAGCATCCTTGATCATTTGGCGAAAAAAGCCGCGCACGAAACCGAGGACAAACACAGGGAATGGACGCCCGAGCGATGGCGAGAGACCGGTTGCAAAAAACGGTATTTGCAGCAGAAGCTGATGGGTCTATGGTGGTGCGTGTATATCTCTGCCCCCCCCCCCCAGGACGCGGTCGCGAGGACGAGCAGCGCCCCTGGCCGTCTGGGTGGCGCACCCCGGAGCAGCCAGGTGGTCGAGCAGGACGCGGTCGTGGGGCGTTGCCACGACATGCTGAGAGCCATTGCCCTTGAACGTTTGCAGGAGCTCGGGGGGGGAGGAGGAGGAGGAGATGGGGGAGGAGGAGGAGGAGGAGGAGGAGGAGGAGGAGGAGGAGGAGGAGGAGGAGGAAGGAGGAGGGAGGAGGAGGAAAAGGGAGAGGAGGACGAGGAGGAGGAGGAGGAGGAGGAGGAGGAGGAGGAGGAGGAGGCGGAGGGGGGGGGGTCAGCATTTTCAAACCGATCCCCATCCCCGGGCCACGGTAGCTCAGTCCCAGTATCCCCTCCCACCCCAGGTAGAGGCAGGCCCCACCTAGGGCTTGTAGATCGGCCAGTGGCGCCGAGGCCATGCCAGCGAGGGTGGGGATCTGCGCAAGAACGATGCGCAGGTGGGGAGGGGGTACTTCTCCAGGAAGCGCAAAGCATGGGCGAAGGCGCGCGAAGGAGCGCCGGGCCCCGCTCCCGTGCAGAATTCAGCTCGCGCGGTCGGCAAAGCGGGCGGCAACTGCTCCCCCCGCGCCGCTTGCAGGAGCAGCTCCGTCGTTCTCTGCAGGGTCGATTTCGCCTCTTGGAGTGTGGCCTTCAGATATTGCCGGTGGCTCGTAGAGCGTCGATACTGCACCAGTGGCAGGTAACGCGCGCGCGTGCGCGCGTGTTATGTGCGTGCTTGTGTCTATGTGTGTGCGTGTGTGTGTGTGTATGTGTGTGCGACGTGCGTGGTATCCGACACGAGTTCGACGCGGCTCTGACGTGAATCCAGGATTGAGCCGACTTGAGTTCGGCGCGGATCCGACGTTCGACATGAATTGGGCGCGCAGTCGAAGCGGATACAGAAGGCACGTGAAATAAGCAACCAGCTTGTCAGCAGCTGCCCCGCGAAAGTTACTTATTCTCCGATGGCTTCGAGGGCCCGCAGACGCCTTGGCACACCTCAGGGGATTCAAACCTCTACGACGAATGTGCCCCAAGACTTCTCTCGTGGCAAGACTTCTTCTTCTCTGTGCCTGACGTGGTGGCGCGATCGGACAACCATGGTTCCCCGAAGGTGCAACGCAAGGGGGGATCATATCCTCCCTCCTCCTGCTGATCCTCTTCGTCCTGCGCCGCGCATGGGCGCCACGAGCGGTCCTGCTCTGACCCATGCGAGGTCGCGGCTGCTCTCCCGCGCAGCGAACGCCTGACCCGGAGCTCCTGAGCGGACAGATTTTTACCTAACAGCTTGTTCTGATAGGTTTCTAGTGGTGTCAAAAGAGAGCAGCAGATGACTCCACAGGGGGGTCTGGGCGGGTGCCGGACAGGGTGCCGCAGAAGTCGTTTTAAGCCAACAGTCACACACTTCGTGCTCTTCGACCTCCCAGAACTCCATTCCCGGGCCACATTCTGAATGCCCGGAGCCAACTGTAGGCCACTTCGTGCTCTTCGACTTCCCAGAACTCCATTCCCGGGCCCCGGAGCCAACTGTTTTCGTGCTCTTCGAAGAACTCCATTCCCGGGCCACGGCCCGGAGCCAACTGTAGGCCACTTCGTGCTCTTCGAGTTCCCAGAACTCCATTCCCGGGCCACATTTTGAATGCCCGGAGCCAACTGTAGGCCACTTCGTGCTCTTCGAGTTCCCAGAACTCCATTCCCGGGCCACATTTTGAATGCCCGGAGCCAACTGTAGGCCACTTCGTGGTCTTCGAGTTCCCAGAACTCCATTCCTGGGCATGATTTTGAATGCCCGGAGCCAACTGTAGGCCACTTCGTGTTCTTCGAGTTCCCAGAACTCCATTCCCGGGCCACATTTTGAATGCTGAGGCAGGCTGATGCTGCTGAGGCAGGCTGAGGCGGCTGAGGCAGGCCGAGGCTGAGGCCTGAGGCTGAGGCGAGGCTGAGGCTGAGGCCAGGCTGAGGCTGAGGCTGAGGCAGAGGCTGAGGCTGAGGCTGAGGCTGAGGCTGAGGCTGAGGCTGAGGCTGAGGCTGAGGCTGAGGCTGAGGCTGAGGCTGTGAGGCTGAAGGCTGAGGCTGAGGCTGAGGCTGAAGCTGAGGCTGAGGCTGAGGCTGAGGCTGAGGCAGACTGAGGCTGAGGCTGAGGCTGAGGCTGAGGCTGAGGCAGGCTGAGGCTGAGGCAGGCTGAGGCTGAGGCTGAGGCAGGCTGAGGCTGAGGCTGACTACGACTGCGAGAACAGCAGAATTCGACAACTGGATTTTCATCTGATTCATCTGAATCTCAAGGGGAATGCTTTCAGATATGCTTCTACACATCGCTGTTAGGTTGCTTTGCCGGGATAATTGAAGCTTAGCTGCCTCGATGCGCCCGTTTTGATACGCAACACGTGTCGTGTTCAATACGTCTGCGTCAACACGCCGCGTGTTGGCTCCGCGCGCGTTGGCCCACGTCTTGGCGAGGGTACCGCGACAGACCCACGTGTTCAGTCTACTACGTGTTGGTCTCCGTGCCAACACGCTACTTGCTGCGCGTTGCGCATCGGGGCAGCTGAGGCCAAGACATCTGATCCTCGACGCTCGAGATCGACTGGGGTGCGGCAAGCTCGGGTCGTGCAGGTGCGGTGGCCACCCCGGCCCAGACGTTCTCGAGGAGGAGCGCCGCCCGTGGCCCGTAGTCAGCCACTATCGAACGGTGGGCGCTGCAGTCAATGCGCCCAGTAAGGGCGCACGCCTTCGTCCAGGGTGCGGACCGGACGAATCGATAGTTTATCGGGCCATGCGGATCGAGTTGGGTGAATCGAGCTAGGATCGTAGGGGGATCGAGCGGGGCGAATCGAGATCCGGGCGCATCAAGCCTACGCCTTCCTTTCTTGTTCAGCGTCCCTCAGGAAGGCTTGGCATCGCTCGGACGTGTGCACTTTTCGCCAGAGTGACCTTTGGTGCGGGCACAATGGGGTCCCCCGATCACCGACTGCGATGCGATGGTAGCGTCTTGCGCGCCTGAGTTCGGTCCCCCCGCGGCCCCCCCCAAGCCGCGCACGAAAGGTCACTCTTACCCAGGGTCACTCTTGCGTGTAGCCGAGGATCGAGCTGGGCGAATCGAGTCAGGGGAATCGAGCGGGGCGAATCGAGATCCGGGCGCAGCAAGCCTACGCCTTCCTTCCTCGCTCAGCGTCCCTCACGAAGGCTTGGCATCGCTCGGACGTGTGCATTTTTCCTTCGGCGAGGACAATCCAGGAGCATCCTTGATCATTTGGCGAAAAACCCAGGCACGAAACAAACCGAAAAAAGCACAGGGAATGGACGTCCGAGCGATGGCGAGAAGGCTGTACAGCACCTCGACTGGCCAAGAGAAGGGATGGAGGACAACACGGAAAGATACAACAGTCAACGCGCCTAGTGAGGACGCGCGCCTTCATCCGGGGTACCCTTTGTGCCCTTGCCTCTGCGGCCCCGTCCTTTGCCTCTTTCACTGGTCGCCCAGAAAGTCCCAGCTTCGGCCTCCAGGGGTCTTGCGTCCTTGCCCCCCGTCCTTGATCTACGTTTTGACTGTATCGGTAAGCCGCGATCCCTCAAGTTCGGACGGTCCACGAGGTGTCGGACCCCCCTCGAAGTCGGTAGTGCGGCACGAAGCTGCCGGAGGGAGTAGGCGGCTGCGACGAGGCCGCTGGCGCGCGACGGCGTTCCCGCAGCCGACACAGCCAGCTAGAGGCTGCCCTCACGGCTTGCGCCCCTGGGCAACAACAATTTGTCGGCCCACAGGTACCCCAGGACGCACGGAGGCGTCCGCGCAGGCTCGAGGAGGCTGCGCCTGCAGCCTTCAAGGCTCGGAGGTGCAGTAGGCACACCGAGTAAGAAATTGGCCTGCCAACGGGTGCCCCATGACCCACGATGGTTCCTTCTAAGTATGGGGCGCTCCAGTAAGGACCTTGCCTTCGAAGATCGACGGAGCTGGCGCCTCTTCCTGGGCGGCAGACCGGCGGGAGTAGAAGTCGGGGCCCCGCGGGATGCAGCAGTTGTTGAACCCGGGCCTTCCGCAACCCGCCATGCGGCCTCCCCTGAGATCCGACGTCACGAGAGCAGTGCGACATCGCAGCAACCCCCGACCGCAGCCCTGGGCAAGGCAGCCGGGGGGGCCCAGAACAAGGCAGCATCGCCACCTGAGCGACGCAGAGGAACGGGCTCGATTGTGGGGACGTTCGCGCGCAAGTTGCCCGAGTACGGTCGTGCGCGAGCGCCTTCGCTTCCACTGTGGCCTGCCGCGCCGGCGGCCCGCGTACGCCGCCGAGTGCGGCCGCCGCGCCTTCTCGCGTCAGACCCGTGCCGCTTCCTGCTGGGAGCCGTGGCGCTGTGACGGTCTGGGGCGCAACAAGGTACGGATTCAGCTCCCTCTGGCTTGCGAGCCGCAGCCCCTGCTCCCCCTCTCCCTCTCCCTCTCCCTCCCCCTCCCCCCCCTCCCCCTCCCCCTCCCCCTCCCGAGGGGCACACGAACGAACCCGCGCTGGTCGCTCCCGGCCGCCCAGGGGGTGAGGGGCACCTGTGCTGCGGATCATGGCAGCCCGTCTGCTGCATCTGACGCATCTGGAGGGCCCCCTATAACCCCAGGAAGCATTTAAGAACCCCCCCCCTCCGGCAAATCGATAACCTTTCCGCACCCTGGAAGCGTTACCTGGCACCAGGAGCCCTCCTGGGTGTCCGGATGCTAAAGCTATCGTTCGGTTATTTCGGCCCCTCGGAATATCGAATAAAAAATGCGGTGCTACGATATCGCCGGGGGGGTTCTTAAATGCTTCCTGGGGTTATTCCTAATGTGCCTGGCCTTCGTAGCTTGGTCCCCTCCCAGAGGGTAATGGGGTACGTGTGCTGCTGATCATGGCAGTCGGTGCTCACACTGCCGAGCGGACGTCCGCACACACAAATTGGTGGCGGCCATTTGATGGTTCGTTGGTGTTAGCGGCGGCCAACAGGGTTCCTCTGAGATTATCTCCCCTCGCTCGGACCCGCGGGGCCCTTCCCGTGCAGTGGGCAAGCACAACTGAAGGGGCCCTGGGACACAAATAAATACACACAAATAAAATGTTCCCCATATTTTCCCATATTTTCTGGGTTTTTTGTCTTCCCGCCCACTTCCCATATTTTCCCATATTTTCCTGGGAGTGGACGATGAATTGTGTCTGTGTGTTTTTTCCCCTCCTGAACAACCCGGGATGAAAAAGCGATTCTGGGGAAAGTCCAGGGGTCCAGGAAACGTTTCCATGGAGATTTTGTCTGTTTGAGGCCATCGTGAGAGGTGGCGGGGGCTAGTCGGCTCTGGCCGCGGCTCACCAGGTGAAAGGTTCCATTGCACCAGGGCAGGCGGGTGGCGACGAACGCAACCAGGCCAACTATCCAAGTCTGGCTGATTGAGCACCCTTTAGAGCAAGCGCTGTCTCGTATTAGTTTCGGGTTGTCTCCAGCTTGCTGTCACGAGCGCGCATCGCTGCAGCCTTGAGCGCGTCTTTGCCGCAGGAGCACTGGATCTCTTACGACCTGCAGAACCAGCACGCCAGCTATTCGGTCTTCACAGCTGACCCCACCTACCGGACGAAAAAGGCAGGCTTGGACGCCAACACGGCAGCCAACCAGATGCAGGCCGCTGAGGTCTTCGCGAGGAAGGGCACGAGACTTTCGCCGAGGTTGTCTACGTCTTTGCGAGGACCAACTGACTCCAGGCTGCCGTCGACGAGCCACGCTGCCGCGGGGGAGCTGCGCTCCGAGACCACCCACTCGCTTTCCGAGGGGCTGGCGGACAGGGTCGCACGCGCAGTGCCCTTGATGATAACCACCTTGCGCTCGGCGGAAAGGGTGACCGAGAGCCTGATGCGGGCGTCTTCCGCCCTGTGCGGTGAGGTGGCACCCAGCGCCGACTACGTCGAGCGGTCCAGGTCTCAGAACTCTCTGCGCCGTCCGTCCGATTGTGGAGGACGATCAATGGAGAGGAAGCACGCTGCCAAATAATTTCCAGATGGCTAAAACATGTTTCAACCATGTTTTCAATACATGAAGACATGTTGGAGTTTGAAACATGGTTAGAACATGTTTACACATGTTAAACACATTGTAATTCAATGATGGGATTGTTAGAGCGTCCATCGGCGTGGCATCCACAACCCTCCGGGCTCGATCTGGCCACCCGACCCACCGGTCGATCTGGGCCCGCGCCGCCGATGGGCGAGCAGGGGCCCGCCCATCGCGCCTCTGCACCGGGCCGCCGCCCCGATCGGCGTCGGCGCCAGGCCGCGGGCTGGGGCTGGATCTGCTGGGCGCTTGGCATCGCTCGGACGTGTGCGTTTTTTTCCTCGGCGAGGACCATCGAGGAGCATCCTTGATCATTTGGCGAAAAAAAGCCACGCGCGAAACCGAAAAAAGCACAGGGACTGGACGTCCGAGCGATGGCCAGGGCGTGCCGCGGTGCACCGATGCCGCTGCTCCCCGGGCCTCTCCCGGAGATCGTTCTTCGGAGGACGTGCAAAATGGGGGGGCGATGCGTGCGGGGGCCGCGGGGGCTGCAGAAAAGCGGCCCTTTCGGGCCCAGAAGGGGCCGTTTGAGGACCCAGAAAGGGCACATTTCTCTCCCCTCCCCATTGATCGCCCCTGCATCAATTCGCGCCCAGGTTCTGGTAAGGATGTCGGGGCAAATCCGGCCGTGGCGGCGATGGCCCCCCAGGAGGCCCACGAGGACGAAACCGGCGGGTCCCAAGCCCGATCTCTTCCCTGTCCGAGGCCCTCGCCGACGTCGTCGATGCATCGCATCGATGCGGCGACCCCCTGCGACCCCGTCGACTGGTGGGAGGCCTCTGTGAATTGGTTTCGCTCAAACGTGTGTATCTTTTCGGCCATCGATGAGTATCTCTCGAGGAGGGGATCGAATACAGAATGGATATACACCCAAATTGGCTTTCTCGTCGAGTCTGCGACAAAAATACGCAGAATGCCTGTAGATCTACGGAATACTCTATGCATCGATTCGTAGCTTCGACGAGACACCCAAATTTGGGCTAAATTGATTGTGTGAACCAGGACACACACACACGAAACCGAAATATGCACCGGGAGTGGACGTCTGAGCGATGGCAGGATTACCAGGAAGCTGGAGACGCATGGCCCGGCCAGCCTGGGCGAGAGCTGGACACACGCGCGGCGGATGCCCTTCCAGCGCTGGGGCGTTCTGTGGCCGTGGAGGCCCGGCTCCCGCACGCGCCTATCCAGCGCGGGTGGCTTCCAGATGTTCCGCACGTGCATCCAGCCACGCGTGCTTCCAGCTTCCGGGCAGGGCCCCGTCCCGAGCGCCCACGGCGCGGCCGTGGGCGCCGAGGGCATCCAGGCAGGGCGCCGTGGGCCCCCTCCCTGATGGGCCCCAGTTCCACCACCGCTACCAGAAGTAGGAGAGGAAGGAGGAGGAGGGCGAGGAGGAGGAGGAGGAGGAGGAGGGGGAGGAGGAGGAGGAGGAGAAGGAGGAGGAGGAGGAGGAGGAAGGACCTCCTCATCCTCCCTTCTCCCCCGTCCTGCATCTGTACTGGTGGTGGAAATTTTGCCCCCCAGGTTGTGCGTCGTGGGCCCCGCTGGCTCCCGGCAGGGCCCCGTCCCCCAGGGGGCCCAAGGCGCGGCCCCAGCGAGGGCCGCCGCGCAGGGAACGCCTCGACCGCGGCGCGCGGCGCGAGCCCAACATCGGCGACGACGACGACGACGACGACGACGACGACGACGACGACGACGACGACGGCGACGACTGCGGCGACGACGACTGGAAGCGGGAGGAGACAGGGCGAGGGAGGCGGACGGAAATGGAGATGGACAGGAGGAGGGAGATGCACAGGGGGCTTGGCATCGCTCGGACATGTGCATTTTTCCTTCGGCGAGGACCATCGAGGAGCATCCTCGATCATTTAGCGTAAAAACCACGCACGAAATCAAAAAAGAACAGGGAATGGACGTCCGAGCGATGGCGAGGGGGTGGAGGACCCTGAGATCCGACGCTGCCCCAAAGATGCAACATCGTGAAATGCCACGACCCGGAGCCCCGGCCCCCATCCTTCTGCGCCATGCTTGTCGAGCCGCATCGATCTGCGAGGGTCCCGGGGCCCGAAACCGGGCGCAAACGCCCGGTGTGAAACACTTGCAGCGCCAGTAGAAGGAGAAGGAGCAGATGAAGAAGAAAGAGGAGGAGGAGGAGGAAGAGGAGGAGGAGCAGGAGGAGAAGGAAGAGGGGAGAGGAGGAAGAAGAAGAGAAAGAAGGAGGAGGAGGCGGAGGAGGAGGGGAAGTGGGGGGGGAGGAGGAAAAGGAGGAGGCGAAGAAGGAGGAGAAGGAGAACGAGGATCTCAGGGGGTCACCCCGGGGGGGCGCGAAGAGGAGTGCCGCTTCGCGCGTCGCGGTCTGGGCCAGAGCGGCTGCCCTTCTCCAGCGGGGGCTGGCGCGAGGGGGCGCCCAGGTCATCGGCGCGCCGCGCCTCGCGGGGCGACAGGGCGCGGAGCTGGGTGACGTGGGTACCGTTTTCTTTTCCTCCTCCTCCTCCTCCTCCTCCTCCTCCTCCTCCTCCCCCACCCTCCTCCTCTCCTCCTCCTCCTCCTCCTCCTCCTCCTCCGCCCTCCTCCTCCCTCCTCCTCTCCCTCCTCCTCCTCCTCCTCCTCCCCTCCTCCTCCTCCCTCCTCCTCCTCCACCTCCTCCTCCTCCTCCTCCTCCCTCCCTCCTCCTCCTCCTCCTCCTCCCCTCCCTCCTCTCTCCTCCGCCTCCCCTCCTGGGCGTCGCTGCCTCTCTTTGTTCCTGCGCCCTGTGGAAGGCCCCCTGGAGGGGATGCGGATTCCTCTTGCCCCTGGACGGGCTTTCTTCTCGTTCGCTCACTTGTCGCTCTCGGTCTCCTCCTCCCTCCTCCTCCACCTCTCTCCTCCTCCTCTCTCCCCCTCCTCCTCCTCCTCCTCTCCTCCCTCCTCCTTCCCCTCTAACTCCTCCTCCTCCTCCCTCTAACTCCTCCTCCTCCTCCTCCTCCCTCCTCCTCCTCCGTCTCCTCCCCCTTCCCCTCCCCCTCCCTCTCCTCCTCCCACTCCTCCTCCTCCTCCAGTTGTTTCCTTCCTTCTTCGGGGGCCCAAGCAGCAGGTTCTCAGAGCCTGGCTTGACATCTTCTGGCAATTCTGGCGTGCACGAAGGAGTCCCATATTCCGACCAGACACAGTGTATCTTTGCATTCAAGAGGTACGCGTGGTGTTTTCGCACAGTCGGAAACAGAGGCGTCGTTCGTGACAGCGTCGGCCTGCCCCCTGTGGTTGGTTGTGGCAGGTCCTGAAGAGGATCGCCAACCACACGCCGAAACGCTGGAGACGGACTGGACCAGGGGTGTCCGAAAGAGTGGGCAGATTCAGTCCTCGACCAGAAAAGAACACCAAAGGAAGTTGCGCAGTCAACTGCTTCTCGGCGACCCTGGCGCGGCACAGCCGTTGCCAGGCGAGCCTGAGGCGGGTGTACAAATAATGCCTTTCATGGTGCACTAATAAAACATTGGCTATCAGCCGAAAGTCTCTCCAGGAGCTCGTCTTCGGTGGTGCGGCCTTTTTCCAAACCGTCAGAGAGGTAGCAGCGCTGGTTTTACCAAACAGGGGGCTTCGCAGGTGCGCTCTGAGTATCCACGAGCGCCTAACGCAGGGGTCGGGTGGCTCACACCCCTGGGCCGTGGTTTGTGTCCGCTCAAGGAAAAGGGAGCAATCGCCCGACTTAGCTGCGGTTGCCGGCGGTGTCACGAAAGAGGGGGCAGTTTTTCCCTCCCTTCATCGGGGGCCAAAGCAGCAGATTCTCAGAGTGCGGGGGATTCTCAAGTGGCAGCTTGCTGCATCTCATTTTTCAGAAAAATCACACTCTCGCCTCGGCGCCGCGCAAATTTTCTCAAAACTGGCATTCTTGCCTCGACGCCGCGCACATTTTTTGGTTGAAAGGGTGTTTTTTTTCAGGGGTCGGGTGGTGACGTGTTGTTTGCGGTATTTCTCGTGTCGGCGCAGTATGCGCGCTCTGCCCTGAGGACCCCCATTGGCATTGCATTGGCGCGGTTTGGCGTTGGATTTGCGTCGCACTGGTATTGCGCTGCATTTCGTCGGCAGTGCGCTGGCCTTGCGCTTGAACTGCGCTGGCGGCTTCCGTCGAAACCTCTACAGCAGGAGTCTTATGAAACCCGCCATCAGAAGGATTCCTAGTGACCCTCCCCCTGCCAGACCAATGTATATGGAATCCTGAACAAGAAGGATTCCAATGCTCAACCCCTTTCTCCACGCGCGCGCAAAAGGATTCCTAACCAATTCTTCCACTGAAAGATCCCAATCTAAATCATCCACATAAGGGTTCCCAGTGACAAACGGGGAACACACAACATTAATTGCGTCCGCATCGATCGGGATTGGCATGCAACGACCACGTGCTGGCATTGCACTGGCATTGTGCTGGCAATGGCTTGGCACGGACTTGCACAGAACTGGCATTCCAGCGGCCAGTTGAGCTCCTCCACAGAAGGCTCCTACTGAAATCCTCCATTGCAGGATTCCGAGGTCAATCTCCCACATGAGGATTTCTATTGAACTATTGAATATAGAAGTTAAACGGTTCATTGGTGGCCCTTGACATCGCACTGGCCTTGTGCTGGCAAAGCGCTGGCATAGCACACGCATAGCCTTGGAATTGATTTGGCATTGCATCACTGTTGAGGCATTTCAAAGACAGATACCCATTGAATTCTTCAGAAGGCTCCCGCTGGAATCCTCCATACCAGGATTCTTAGTTCAGTCCTCCACAGAAGGATTACGATTTCAAACTGCAAAAAAACAAAGGATTCATGGGTGCTCCATGGCTTTGCATTGGCCTTGCGCTGGCAAAGCGCTTGCACAGCACAGGCACTGTCTTGGAATCGAGTTGACACTGCATTCCTCTTGAAACCCCTCGCGCAGGGATATCTATTGAATTTCTCCGCAGGGGGACTCTTACTGAAACCCTCTATAGTGAGATTCTCAGTTCAATCATCCACATAAGGGTTTCTATTGCAATCTAGAAGGAAAATGGTTCACCGGTGCCTCTTGGCATTGCGTGGGCCTTGCGCTGGCAAAGCGCTGGCATAGCACAAGCACTGCCTTGGAATTGATTTGGCACTGCATCCCTCTCGAAGCCCATCATCCAAGGATTTCTATTCAATTCATCCACGGAAGGGTCCAAACGAACTCCTCCATAGCAGCATTTCTGATTCAGTCCTCCACAGAATGATTTGTATTGCAACATTAAGAAAAGGTTCATTGTTGCCCCTGGGCATTGTATTGGCCTTGCGCTGACAGGGCGCTGGCATAACACAGGCATTGCCTTGTAATCGAATAGGTATTGCATTTCTATTGCAGCCCCTTCGTACAAGGATTCCTGTTGGATTCCCCACATGAGGGCTCCTAGACCCTCTATAGCAGGATTCCTAGTTCAATCATCCACATACGGATTTCTATTTGAATCTAGAAGGAAGCATGTTCATTGGTGCCCCTTGGCATTGCATTGGCCTTGCGCTGGCAAAGCGCTGGCACACCACAAGCATTGCCTTGGAATTGCGGTGGCATGCGTTCCCCTTGAAACCCTGCGTCTAAGGGATCCAACTCAATTCCTCCACAGAAGGCTCGTACTGTAACCCCAAACAGGCAGGATTCCTTCTTCAATCATCCACATACGGATTTCTATTGAACTCTGGAACGAATGTTCACTGATGCCCCTTGGCATTGCATTGGCCTTGCGCTGGCAAAACGCTGGCATAACACACACACATTGCTTTGGACGTGAATTGTATCACATTCCTCTTGAAGCCCTTCACAGAAGGATTCCTACCAACGTTCTCACCATATGGCTCCTATCGAACTCATCCATAACAGGAGTCCTATTCAATCATCCACAGCATGAGTTCTATTGAAACATAGAAGGGGGAAGCAGGTTCATTCCTTTCGTGTTGGATAGCGGTGAATGGGGATTGACATTGCATTGGCCAAGTGCTGGCGTTGTACTGGCATTGCGCTGGCGACACGCTGGCACGGTCATGGCGTAGAATTGCATAGCATTGGTGTTCCTTGGCATTGCTAGCAGAGCTAGCGTAGCACTTGAATTCATTAGCACTGCCTTCCTATTGAAACCCTCAACAAACAACGGTTTTGATGGACAACCTTCCACATACTGATTCTTAGTGAACGCCACCACAAAAGTTAGCATAGCATTGGTGCCCCCTTGGTGTTGCGATGGGCCTGGCACTGGTAAAGCGCTGACACAGCACTACCAATGCATTGGCATTGTCTTGGTGTTGCGTTCATATTGAAATTATACAAGCGGTCAACATCGACACCTTCCATACAAGGATTTCTCTTCAAATCCGCCACATAAGGATCCGCATTGAAATCCTACGCAAGAAGGGTTCCCGTTGGAACCATCCACAGCAAGATTCATACAGCATCCTCCGCGCAAGGATTCTTTTGGAAACGCCCGCAGAACGTTTCCGACTGGAATCCTCTGCAGAAGGGCTCCGATTTAAATCCTCCACATAAGGACTTCCAGTGAAATCTTCAGGCTGATTTCCATTGAAATCCGCTACATAAGGATCCCTATTGAAATCCAGCAAGAAGGGTTGGTATTGAAATTCCCTCGACAGTGATTCCGATTGAAATCCTCTGCAGAAGGATTCCAATTGAAACCGTCCACAAGAGGAATTTGGTGGGGGGTGGCTGGGGGGGGGGGGGGGCAGAAAAAAAGAAAACAACAAAAAAACGGTCTGACCCCCCCCCTGCGCCGATGTTTTTTGTTTTTTTTTTGCCCCCCCCTCCCCCCCCAAGGGCCACCGCGTGCTGCTCGGGGGGGGGGGGGGGGGGGGGGGGGGGTGGGGGGGAGGAGAAAGGGAGGGGGAGGAGAGAGGGGGGGGGCTACCGCTCTCGCCTGTTTTTCCCTCGCTTCTCCTTCCTCTCTCTCTCTCTCTCTCTTTTTCTCTCTCTCTCTCTCTCTCTCTCTCTCTCCCGCATACCTCTCTCTCTCTCTCTCTCTCTTTCTCTCTATCTCTCCACCGCCTCCTCCCTATCTCTCACTCCCTCCGTCTCCCTCGCTCACTCTCGCGCCCCTCGGGAGTAAATCGTCGCGCGCGTCGGCCTCCATACCGCCACTTGAGAATCCCCCGTTCTCGATTCGCAGAGCCTGGCTTGACATCTTCTGGCAATTTTGGCGTGCACGAAGGAGTCCCATAATACGACCAGACACAGTGTATCTATGCATTCAAGAGGTACGCGTGGTGTTTTCGCACAGTCGGAAACAGAGGCGTCGTTCGTGACAGCGTCGGCCTGCCCCGTGTGGTTGCTTGTGGCAGGTCCTGAAGAGGATAGCCAACCACACGCCGAAACGCTGGAGACGGACTGGACCAGGGGTGTCCGAAAGAGTGGGCAGATTCAGTCGTCGACCAGAAAAGGAGACCAAAGGAAGTTGCGCAGTCAACTGCTTCTCGGCGGCCCTGGCGCGGCACAGCCGTTGCCAGGCGAGCCTGAGGCGGGTGTACAAAGAATGCCTTGTATGATGCACTAGTATGGATATGCTTGGCAAAAGACTCCTCCTCCTCCTCCTCCTCCTCCTCCTCCTCCTCTCCCCCCTCCTTTCCTCCCCCTCCTCCTCCCTTTCCTCCTCCTCCTCCTCCTCCTCCTCCTCCTCCTCCTCCTCCTCCTTCTCCTCCTCCCCTCCTCCCCCTCCTCCTCCCCCTCCTCCCCCTCCATTTCCTCCTCCTCCTCCCCCTCCTCGTCCTCCTCCTCCTCCTCCTCCTCCTCTCCTCCTCCTCCTCCTCCTCCTCCTCCTCCTCCTCCTCCCCCTCCCCCTCCTCCTCCTCCCCCTCCTCCTCCGCCTCCTCCTCCTCCTCCTCCTCCTCCTCCTCCTTCTCCCCCTTTTCCGCCTGCCCCCTCGCGAGTCGGTTGAGGGCGGTGGTGATATCCATGGCCAGTCTACGATTGGAGTGTCGCCGGCTTCCAGCCCACGGATTCTCGATCCAATGGTTCTTTCTTCACCGCCCTCGACGTAGTACTAGTATTCTAGGCCTCCACGATGGGGTCCGAGTTGATGGGGTCGGAAGAGAGCGCCGCATCGCCGATCTATCGCCGGTGCGGCTCGATGCGGAGCTCGATCTGCTCCGCGCTGGCGTCGCCGGTGCACCGTCGACGTCGCCGATGCATCGGCGGTGCGGCCCGATCCTCCGACCCCAGCAATTCGGACCCCATCCGGAAGGCCTCTCAGTATGTCCGTTTTGTGCCCCATGAGGTCCAGTCCGTGCCCAAAGGCACGGTGTCGGTTTCTCGCGGTCGCTAACCGGCTTCATCTGGGTTTATTCAGCATAATCAGGTTCAATCCTGCTCAGTCCGGCTTCATCCGGCTTGATCCCGGCCCTAATTTGCCCTAATTTGGTGGAGTGGCCCTCTGATGGGGCTCAGTCGCCTTCAATCGTTTCAACGAAGTCCTCTCAGGAGTTGCCTCCTCCTGCCCTCGCCGTACACTCGGGCCGCTGAAGAAGGAACCCTTTTCGTTGGGGAGGGGCTCCGTGCTCCTTCATTGTTTTACACTTTGTCTTAGTTTGTCCCGAGGTGTTCTGCGGGAAGTCTGAGTTCAACGGATGGAACAAGTGGCCTCGTTCCTTCGTTTGGGTGCCTGACAGCGTTTCGACTGTAAAGCCAGAGGAGGAGGAGGAGGAGGAGGAGGAGGAGGAGGAGGAGGAGGAGGAGGAGGAGGAGGAGGAGGAGGTGGGAAGGGGGAGGAGGAGGAGGAGGAGGAGGAGGAGGAGGAGGAGGAGAAGGAGGAGGAGGAGGAGGAGGAGGAGGAGGAGGAGGAGGAGGAGGAGGAACGCTGCCCGAGGTCCAGGTACACGGTGCCCGAGGGCGGGTGCGTCTACTGCTTCTCGCCGGGGCCCGCCGCGCTGTCCTTCGAAGCGATCGGCCAGGCCCACCTCGACCGGCTGCGGCGGGAGGCGGGCGGCGCCAGCGACCAGGCGGTGCGGCAGGAGCTGGGCGACCCGTTCCGGCCCCTCAAGGCCCCGGAGGGCCTCCTCTCTCGGCGTCATCCCAACAGACTTATACTATAATGGAGGATGACGATTAATAAAAAATTGGGGGGAACGATTAACAAAAATAGTTTCCTGCTATTTCTGCATAACTTCCTGACTGGAGGAGAACGATGAAAAGGAATAGTTTTCCAGCCCGCGGCCGGTTTTTTCTAATCGTCATCCCGGGCGCCGCCGCGTGAACACGACCCCCGGTCATTTATTAATCGTTATCCTCCATTATATGTGCGTCGTGGCGGAGGCTTTCTGGCCACACCGCTCGGGAAACGATGTACTGCAAGATGGGTATACTAGATGTTTGGGTCGGACGCGCGCCTCCAAGGAGAGCATATAGTACTAGTATGTCTCTGTGCGTCCCACCTGACTTGGCTGCCTCGGTAGGCCCATTTGGATTCGCAATGTGTGCCGTGCTCAGAGCGTCCGCGTCAGTACGTTGCGTGTTGGCTCAACGTGTTGGCCCACGCGTTAGCGAACGCGTCGCGTAAGACCTACGTTTTCAGCAGTCTACGTGGTGAGCTCCGTGTCGATACGCTACGTGTTGCGTGTTGCGTATCGGGCAGCTAAGTCCCTGAGGGCCTGACGACTTCTCGCCAGCCGACTCGCGGGGATCCTCGGCGGCGAGCAGCGGGGGGAAAGCGAGAAGGAGGACGCCCTCTGAGATGGCGGCGGGGCTTCTCAGAAGCCCTCCAGCCTTCTGAGGGGCTGTCTGTGCGTTCGGGGAAGGCGGAGAAAACTTCTCAGAAGGCCAGGGGACGTCAGAGCATTCTGAGAAGGCCCGCCCTTTCTCATTTCCCCCCGGGCTCGCAGTCGATCCACGGGATCAAGCCAAACCAATTGAGGTAGTCACATATGGGCAAATCTGTGCAAATCAAGGCACATCGTGTAAAGCCACACGCCCCTGCAATTCCAGAGCTTCCCAGGGAACTCAGGGGCAACTCGTGGGCGCTCCAGCGCGAGTCGGGGGACGGCAGACGTCGTTGAGCCAGTAACGGCAAGGCGCTGAGCACGAACAGCAAGTCCGGGGAAGTGTTCCTCATCTCGGCGGATGGCGGCTTCATCGTTAAGACCATTTCTGACGCGGAGGCCAACGGTCTCGTCGAGATCCTGCCGCGCTACCGGGACCACGTCTTGAACCACCCAAGGTCCGTGCTGGGAAGATTCGTCGGCCTGTACTGCCTCGAGCTGGAATCTGGCGGGGGAGTGCGCTACGTCACCGTCATGCAGTCTGTCTTCAAGTGCCCGTACCCCGTGCACACGACGTACGACCTCAAGGGCTCCACGTACCACCGCTCTGCGAAGCAGGGGGAGTCCGTGAGGAAGGACATGGACTGGATAGCCGACGGCCGGCGGATGGAGCTGGGGGCTGCCCAGGCGAAGTTGCTGAGCCAGACCCACGAGCAGGACACGCAGATGCTGAGCTCCTGCAACGTGATGGACTTCTCGCTGCTCGTCGGCATCGCGCCCGTCGGCGCCGGCGACGGCAGCGCGCTGGCCGACCCGCCGCCCCCCGGCTGCTGGCCGAGCCACGACGGGTCCCACGTGTATCTGCTGGGCATCGTGGACTTCCTCGTCGGCTACGGGGCCCGCAAGCGGGCCGAGCACGCCATCCCGGGGGGACGGAGGCATACCGCAGGGGTGAGCCTAAACGGTGCTGTGGCGATTTCGTGGGCCGTTTTCGCTCCGATGTCGTTTTGCGTCGAAGGCGGACTGAAGACAGGATGAGGGAGAACGAAAACACAACGAAGACGGAAAACACCGTGTAGGTTCAGCCCTGGCATACCGCATACCCCATGTAACGGAGGATGCTTGTCAAGAAGAGTTCTGGGCGATGACGGAGTGGACGGGGCTCCAGGCCTGCTCGTGGGCTTCGTCGTCATCGAGATTCTCAGTCGATCGTCCCCTCCAAACTCCTTCCCCGTGGCAGAGAACTTGCTGTCTTCATCGCCCCTCGCGCTTGCTCTCAATCATCATACTGTATTGCTCCCACGGTATTGGAGATGCTCCGATGTGTGATTGCATCTAGAACCTATGAAGTCATCACGCACAGAAGCATGATGTTCAGATGTGCCCTTGGTAACGTGGTCATGGATCGGCGCAGGGCTCGCGCGGTTAGGCCCGGGGCCGAGGCTGCTCACTTTGAGGGCCGCAAGGATGGCTCGTGCATACAGTCGGGGCCCTGAAGAAGGAACCCTTTTCGTTGGGGAGGGGCTCGGTGTTCCTTAAGTGTTTCGCAGCTTGCATCGGGTTGTCCTTATGTCTTCGATGGGAAATCGAAGTTTAACCTATGGAAAAAAGGGGCCTCGTTCCTTATTTAATCGCTTCGCTCATTCCGCCAGCCCGTATTGTGCCATCGCAGGCGTTTGCTTGCGCGTTCGTGGCCTCTTGGAGCCTCGTTGGGGCCTCTTGGCGCCTCTTTTTAGACCTCTTGGAGAACTCGGGAGGCCTCCAGGGGGCCTCCTGAGCTCTCGTGACGGTCTCTTGGGGGCCTCGTTCCTTATTTGGGGTTTCTTGGGTCAGCGCCCCGACTGCAGCACTCAATTTTGGTTTGATGGTTGCATCCGGCCTTCTCGAACCTGGGACTGGGGGTCCTGCAGGTCCGGCGGGCGGCGGGCGGAGGCGGAGGCGGAGGAGGAGGAGGAGGAGGAG